GTACCAATTTGAATCACGTTGACATAATTAATTTTCTTTAAATTAAGATGATTGTATACGTCACTGTTTGGTACATTGAAGTCACGCGTTTAAAGTAGAAATTATTATATATTTTATTTAAGAAAGTTTAATCGAGAAAGATGCATGTGAAACACGTGAAATACAATTTATACCTGGTGGAGACGATTAAAGATTAGACGTGATTTGATTGGTGAAGTTGCACTCATGAGTGAACAACAACAACTGCATCTTTTCATTGTACATTTGATTAGTTGATCATCTTCATTTATTGTTTCCTATGATCACATTTTCAAATAGCTGTACGAATTAAGTATTAAAGTTAATTGAAAAATCATATTTGAATTTAAAAAGTTAGAAAAGCTTAACGAGAATGTTTGAACAATAGAATATGGCCGACTTAACCAAATGAGGAAATTACGAAATTTAGGTTGGTTCAACTCAATTCTCATTATTATATATGCATTTTCTTGACTATTGAAAACAATGAAACTCAAATTGTATAAGCTTCAAAATCTTCAGTTACGTACAATGAATTTCATCGCTCCTCACGGCTTTCTGACGTCTCCTCCAAGATTTGAACCCAAGACCTCCATCATATGGAAGACTTAAGTAGAATTCTGGTACCAATTGGGGGAGGTCTTGGGTTCGAAGCCTGAGGGACGCGTCAAAAAGCCGTGAGAGGTAAGATGGGTCTAGGCTTTTCTAAAGCGAACAGTACGTATGATATAATAACGGCTCTAACACGAGCTCATGTCGTTACAATGGATGCAGTGCTACTTGTGCAAGTTCAGTGACCATTTGAAATCAATTCAAAGTACAGTGAATAGAATACGATAATGAACAAAGTTCAATATGTAATCAAACAATTAACTTTTTGATCTAAAAGCTTGAATCGTTAGATTCGATTAAATGTATATCATTTCAATACTATTTTCAAAAGCATGAACTTATAAGATAAGAAGAAAAAAGATGAGTCATCTGTGACTTAGGATTTATTATAATCTTTTATTATATGAAGAATCCCAACATACACACATCCTTTTTCATATTCTATTGTAAATTATATAAGCAATTCAAAGTTTTGATATAAAAGAGAATCAAGAACAAAGTTTCACAAATTGTGGACCTTTGTTGTAAGTGATTGTCATTGTAGTAGGTTTGTTTGAGGACGCCTTGAACTTCAAATTTAAGTTTTCAAGAAACTCGACCACCAAAATCGTGAAGATGCAATTTATTCTTCTCCATCATTCAATCATTTCACATTCTTTAAATCTATACGATAAAACCACTAGTTCCTACACAAACTAGTTCACTAACACATATATGTCAAACTAAGCCCCTGTTTGGCCCCCATTATTTTGCATTTTTGGGGGTTGAAAATTTTTAGAATAGTGATTGATGAGAAAATGTGTGGTTGAAATTATTTTTTATTTGTATGTAATATTATTTTATTTGATGAATGTATGGTTGAAATGAAGAGATAGAAGAATTTAATGTAATGTAATGTAATTTAATGGGGGTCAAACAAGGGCTAATTAACCAAAAGCTAGAGATTTTGTTTTCGAAAATTTAATTTATGTTAGTTACTCTCTTTAATTAAAATAAAAATCTCAAATCATTTTGAATTATAATCAACTCATTCGTGTTTGACTCAACTTAGCGTAGACTATTCAATTAATTTTATATCAAACTGTATTACATTATTTCGAATAAAATTTAATTTAATCGAGAAAAATTGAGTAATTGAGAATTTAACGAATAATTTTATTCATATTTAACATCTGCAGTAGTCATTCTATATGACAGTTTGTTATTTGATGTATTAACTTGTTATTTGAGGCATATAGGATGATTAGTACAGACGTTAACAATGAATAACATTACTCAACTTTAAATTTTCAAAACCCAATAATCAATTGCTTCTAGAACTACAAGTGAATAATTTAAATCATATTATTAGAATTGGTGTGATTACTTAAATTTCACGCGCGCGCACACACACTTTTTTGTTAGTAATAATAAATTGTTGCAATATTTTTTTTTGATGATTCATAATCTGTAGCTGACAAAGATGATCAACAAATTATTTAACCGAGAAAATCATTACCATCATTATAATGATAATTTTTCTCTTGATGTTGTTTACAAGAAGCAGAAGTCTAGCCAAATAGGCTTGTAGGCATTTAATCACTAAGCCCTACTTTGGCCTCATATTTAAATTTTTTTTTCCTCAAACTCATTTTTTTTTTTTTTTGAAATGGACTGTAATTTCATTAAAGTCGCAAAAAGCGGATACAAGGAGGAAAACCCTCCAACACATTGCTCTCCTAAGAGAGGTTGAGTGCAACCATATCCAAGCAACGACAGACAAACCAAAACAAGACCCAACAACAGACAGAACATAAACAATACAAGACCCAACAACAGACTAAACAATACATGACCCAACCACCAAAATTAAAATCTTAATTCACCAGAGCATATTAATTAAGGCAATTACGATTTACAAGCACAAAGCAATTAACAAGCACAACTGGTATCGTTAATGTCCCTAGTNTTGACCCAACAACAAACTAAACAAAGCGAAGTCGAAAAACAGCTGTGACTTTACAATACAGGAAAAACCCGACTTAAAGCCAACTACACGTTCAGCACTTGAGCACCCCCGCACAGAAAGTAGCGAACATTGTCTGGACTTCACCACCGACAGAACAAAAAACACAACCAAACGACAACCAAACACAAACAACAAAATCACAGACCAGCCAACAGACACTGTACACCACCCGTCAACCACCAACACCCCGCCAAGCCCCAACCGAACCAACGCCGGAGCAGCACCACCAATCAACCACAACAAACCAAACCACAACAACCAACTAGAAAAAACAACCTCAAACTCATTTTTAACCATACATTTTATAGGATAGACAACTTAAATCAACTTTTCAATCATATATTGCATTAGTGTCTATGAAAAACTACTACTGATGAGTATAAATATGTTGAAGCCTCGAGCTCGAGCTCCTGACCCCGAACTTGGCCTCCTCAAATTTCCTAACTCCAAGGTCGGGCTTGATCTAATAGGTCGGGCTATTAGTGCACTCTGATCAACTTGCTTGACCCTATCTCATGCCTTCTACAAATATCAATTCTATTTTGATCGTAACCCCCCACTTTTCCTATTTGAACACAAACTCCCCAACTACTACAAATTTGACTCTAACTGAAATTGCACACTTCTAACATAACACAAATATCTTGTAAGGATAAGGACTATAGCCTATAGGAAGTTGAATCCTTTTTGGACTCCATCTCAAACGTCTATAAATACATAACTCAGCCTCATTATTCAAGTATGTTCTTTCATTAATATTTTCAGCATACAATCTTTTGCACAATTCCTTTTTCTGATTTAAGTATCGGAGGGGCGACGAAAACACACATCGACGTCTTTGTTTCAGGTATTGGAAACCATCGTGCAGAGTCCAAAAATTCAGTTCGGGTTCACCCAGGAGCAAGTTTTTGGTAGCATCAACTACAAATTTGATTTAAATCAAACATGGAGTAACTTTGGAAAGTAGGTGTGATTTTCTTTTGGTATTGATGGGGATACTTATGCCTTTGGCTACACGTTGATTTTTCTCTCCGTTAAAAAATAGTTATATAGGATTCGTGTGGCGATACATTTGAAAAGTCAAAAGTTATGTTTCAGATTAAAAAATAGATTTGAATATGTTAAGATAATATTTTAGAAGTACTTTAGAAAAAATTGACTTAAAATAGCTTTGTTAAAAAGTTCTTCCAAAAAGTAGAAGCAAAAGCAAATATCCTACCAAACGAACTCATGGTTACTTTTGGCTTTAATTCAACCCATTTCTTAATAACCGTAGAAAGGCATAGAAAAGGCATAAGAATACGGGGAGCCAATCAATAGAAAAGAATACGTTAAATAATCTCATTCATTAGGAGAAATTAAAAAGTCTCCCTACCATTTCGGATCGGAGGGCTCGTCTTGATATTATTCGGTGCTCCTCAGCACATTTGCCGTCGACCACCGCCCTCTTCCTCCACAGTCCGTCCACCAGAAATGGCTCAGCGTTCACTCAGCGCTTTCTCTCCCGTAATTACTTTATAAATTTAAGGTATTTCAGTGAAATATTTTTGTTAAATTTATTAAAATTATAAGTACTAATCGAAATATTTTATTTTTTTCAAAGGTAATTGGGTGATACAGTTTCTTTATAAGTGCAGTTTGAGGAATTCTTTGTTGGGGAAGGAAGATCACAAGAAGGGAGGTAAAGCAATGACTAGACAAGTTGTGCATCATTCCAGGGGAAGCGTTCGGAAGGGGAGATTAGCAGAGGTGGCTGGCGGAACAGCTGCAGAGTGCGCTGCCGTGTGCTGCTGCTGTCCATGTGGGGTAGTGAACCTCCTGGTTTTGGCCGTGTACAAGTTGCCGGCAGGGCTGTGCCGTAAGGCGTTGAGGAGGAAGCGCCACCGTAGACTGATCAAACAAGGGCTGTTGCCACCGCGGCAGTGCAGCTGCGACGACAATAACCTCGAAATCCACCCAATTTCTGGCCCCGTCGCCATGGTAAACGCTCTAGAATCAAACCCAGACAAGGATGTAATTGAGCTAGAGAAGGAAATGTGGGATAAATTTTACAGTGCTGGATTCTGGAGGAGCTCCTCGCAAAGAAGTGAAGTGTAATGGTAAATAACTGTAAAATCAGCAAGCCGACTTTATACTTTTATCCTCAACTAATATTTTGATGAATTTTAAAATATTATAATGAATTTCGTATATTTGAATAGATTTTCACAAATTCTATAAAAATCTCATCAAATATGATGAAATTTCAAAAAATTTAGTTATATCATATATGTATTTTTAAGATTGAAATCTATTGAAATCTTTTAAAATCTTTCTATTAATGAAATTTTTATAAATTCACTTAAATTTTAAAGGATTTCATTAAATTTCAATCCAGGACACCTAAATTTTAAAAATTTTCATTAAAATTCATTAAAATTTCAATTGAGGATATCTAATTTTTATTTTTTTTTATAAAAAAAATCATAACAATCTCAATTGAGGTCACCTCCTTAAAGAAAAATAAAATAAAATAAAATACATACTGTTTATTCCTTTACCTATTTCTTGTTTTCTCTTGTTATTATGTGCTAAACTTGACTCAGCTGTTGTTTTGTAAAATCTGTTTTGTTAATAGAATTTATTTTATTAGTGTTTTTTTATTAATAATAATTAATTTTTGTATGTGAATTATGTGTTCTTGCTTTCTGGGCTTGAACTTTATTTAATAATTATTACGTGTTTAAGTTGGATTTGTTTCAAATGATTGATTTGAAGAAGAAACAAAAAGGCAATTCCAGTGAGACAAACTGATAGTGATATCTTAAGGCGCCTAAAAGTTTGTCATATTTTTGAGGCTAATGTGACGAAAAAAATATATTTCGAATGTGAACTCCTATAAGTGTACAGATCGTTGACAAGTAATAAAGTGAACTTTTTGAGTTCGAGTATCGTTCTCACAGAGATTTATTTAATTTGATTTTTAGTTATTACGACCTTAACCGAAACGATAATATTAACTAGAATTAAATCAACTACGATGCAAGTGTGAATTACTAAACTAAATGTAAGTAATGGTTGAATACAAATTTTATGTAATTTATGAATGAAGGACGTACTAGGATCCTGAATTCCCAAGTAATAATTATTTCTAACCCTAATTTTATAATTTGACAACACGAATCCAATTATTATGAATCAATGTTCCTATCCTATCCAACAATCTCCCTTGAGTAATGTTGGACCTACCCTCGCATACGACCTGACTATATCTCTATGACGAATGCGTCTATACAAGAATGTTTGCAATTTTATGAACACTTAGACATTCACATAAGGCATAGTAATATATTTATATCCTCTATCAAACTTTATGATTATTTATATATGTCGAATTTATTTCCATTCTCTCGAATACATGAAACAAATAACAAAACTCACATAATTATTGTGCACTCTAATTATGGAGACAATTAATTCATATAAATCATTCTATAATTAAAAAACTTGTTCTTGCGTCAAATATATAAAACTAAATATCAAAACATCAAATTACAAGGTTCATAGTTCATATAACGCTGATTAACGTAGCCTAGAATAGTAGAAAGAAAAAAATATGAAAAAGAATCAAGAAACGACATCACCCAATTAATTATGGATTTGAATCTTCACACATTGGGGATGAATTTTGTGTTTTTTGCTCCATTATATGTTCTCCAATCTTGAAAATTTCGTCCTCTAGGTCTCCTTTGAGTTTTTGGACGGCTTTGTAGTTTATATAGATGTCTAGAGATTGGTTTCCATAAGAGTTGGAACGAAAAAAGGAAACCAGAAATTTGCGCCCAGAAAACACTATGCGACCGCATAGTAATGTTGAATGCGATCGCATAGAACAATAAATTTTCCCCTGAAATTCTCTGAAGCCTTATATGCAGTCACATGGATTTTAAACTATGTGACGCATAGTTATAATTTTTTTTTCGTTGGACAGTTTTTCAGTATTTTTATTTTTCTCTTCCGATATTGGATTGAGGTGATTCAAAAAGTGTTGGAAAGCTAACTCAAAGGGATACAAATCTTCCAGATATATAAGTTTTAAAGTTCGAACATTTTCTATGCTAGAAATAGGTTTCAAACTGAGACTGAAAGTTCGAAACATAACTTTTTCGGATAGAAGTTGATATGTGATTGTACTTCAATTATATTTCATCCATTTGGCTTCTTTTCTCATCCAATTGATGCCTAATATTCTCAACTTTTCATCGTGAGATCAACACAACTTTTCAGTCTCCATTCTTATAGTCAAAACAAGCTGTTACAAGCATTAGCAACATCAATGGAATTCCAACGATGAGGAGTGCAATGAAGGCAACCAGTTTTTTTTCACCTTCTTCTGTACGTATCTCATTCCTTTACAACCCTATCCCATTCTCTTTCTGCTACATCAAGCCTAATGATTAAATCCACCATCACACTTCTTGTACAAGCATTTATGGATGGGTCTTACCATGAAAAAATCCACGCCCAACACCATCCTAATAGAAACAAAAATTAAGGAAAAATGGTACTAAAATTAATCTCGAAATTCTAGGATATGGTTATGATGAGATAAATACTCGATGTCTGGGACAGTCACAAAATCACCAGCTTCAGTTGTTTCCAGTTCGCGACAATCACAACGTTACTCTCAGCCTACAATGACGTAGAGGAGTCAAAATCGTAAGGTATTCCATCTTCATGTGATATGGATTTATTGATTTTGCCCTATTTTTTTCTTTCCCGTCACTACGAAGGAGAAGAACAAGTAAAGGTTGGTTTGGCTCATCCACCACACATATGTTGTTGGTGTGAAATGC